TGTGATGCTATTTTAGCCAAATTCCTAATTCTATATCTTAAGAGTGGTTATCTTAAGTGTGAGTTTTAGGTTCTAGATATTTGATTAAGTGTGTCATATCTTAATTAAATTCTAGATTCAAACCCTAAGTTAGAATAACAGTGTGTAATATCTCTTAAATACCAACTTGGTTTATCCATCCCTGATTTTCTTCCATTTCATACCTCCCCATATTCTCTTCCTAAACCTCTTCTTTTTCTTCATAAAAAACACCAAAAAGAACTCCAAAAACACCTTTCATATTTCGCCCCATATACTTCTGTGTTCATTTCCTCCACAAATTCACACAAAATTAGCAACTTGATAAGACCCCCTTTTCACCCCTAACAGTTTGATTAGAACTCGAAGGAGAGTTCCAAGTGTTCTGTTGGTGACCTCGGTTTGACCGCCAGTTTGCGGATGGCTAGCGGTGCTGAATTTGAGCTTTGTGCCTAGCTTTCTCCACAATGTCATCCAAAAATGGCTAAGGAATTTGGGATCCCTATCAGAGACCATGCTGCGGGGTATGCCATGGAGTTTAACGACCTCTCGGAAGTAGAGATCGGCTACTTGGGAAGCATCATATGTAGTAACGCAAGGAATGAAATTGGCCATCTTTGAGAATCTATCCACAACCACCATTACGGAATCCTTGCTTTGTTGAGTTCGGGGTAGCCCGGTAATGAAATCCAGGCTAACATCTTCCCACGGGGCGTACGGGACGGGTAAGGGTAAGTGCATTCCTTGGGGTAAGGCTTGGGACTTTGCAAGTTGACAAGTGTGACATCTCTTGATGAAGTGCGAGACGTCTCTCTCCATTTTGGGCCAAAAGTAATGATCTTTCATCATCAAATAAGTCTTGTTGATCCCGAAATGACCGGCTAGTCCACCACCATGGACCTCGTCTATCAGGGTTTCACGAACGCTGCTCCTCGGGATGCACAATTGATTACCACGAAAGAGGTAACCATCTTTGATTAGTTAATCTCCATGGGGCTGAGATAAGCATTGGGCATACATCTCCTTGAAATCTTCATCATCCTTGTAGAGTTCCTACAAAAATTCAAAACCAAGAAGTTTGGTACTAAGTACCGTTAGTAATAAGTGTCTCCAGGACAATGCATCTGCGCCTTTGTTCATGGACCCATTCTTGTGCCTGATGGTGAATGTAAAGGTTTGAATGTATTCAACCCATTTGGCATGACGGGGTCGAAGCTTGTGCTGCCCTTGAATGTACTTCAACACCTCATGGTCGGAGTGAAGGATGAATTCCTTACTCACGAGATAGTGTCGCCAATGCTCAAGAGACCGTACCAACACATAGAATTCTTTGTCGTAGGTAGAATAGCGTCTCCGTGTGTCATTGAGCTTCTCACTGAAGTAGGAAACCGGGTGTCCCTCTTGAGTTAGGACAGCCCCGATGCCAACTTCCGATGCATCACACTCCACCTCGAACAACTTTTCGAAACTGGGCAGGGCCAATACGAGGGCATGCATTAAGCGATCCTTGATTGCTTCGAAGGCTTGTTGGGCTCTCGAGTTCCACTCAAACTTCCGATTCTTTGTCAAGTCCGTGAGGGGGGCAGTGATCGTACTAAAGTCCTTCACAAATCGCCGATAGAAGGATGCAAGGCCATGGAAGCTTCTAACATGCTGCATTGTTGTGGGAACGGGCCAATCTTGTATAGGTTTTGTTTTCTTCTCATCGACTTTGGTCCCTTCATTTGAGATAAATGATATACCCCAGGGTACACCTTCACACATGCCACTAGTATTAAAAGAAATCAAGTGTTTAATGTCTAGGTGTTATGATCCATTTTGGGTTGAATTCATTGATCCATCCCACACCAAAACCCAAACCATGATCCATCCCACACCAAAACCCAACCTAGTCCGAAATGCCTACAAGCCCAACCCACTCCCACATATCCAAAGTATTTTTACTACTCAAATAAAGCCCTTTTTCCTCTCCCTTGAAGCCCTGGCCGAAATTGAAAGGGAAGGTACAACCCAAAAATAATGTCTGTTGTTTTCTGCCCTAAATATTCCTTTCAGCAAATAAGAACCTTCCCCATCCCTTCCTACTTCAAAGTCACGAAAATATGCCCCATTTGTCCTTAAAATCAGTCCCCATCCATCACAAACATTCCCCACTACAAGAGGAACAAACCAGGGGACAAGAAATAAAACATGTCTTTTGTCCTGTTGTGATAATACATCAAACC